AAAAAATACATATATTTGGTAAAGGATTAGAACATTTTTTTTGGACTTAGGAGAGAAAAAAAACAAGTAATATTGTTGAAAAATGAGATACACAAATGAGGATTGTCAAACAAAGTATTAGACGAGCAGGTTGAAGAAACTTTAGAAAACTAAGCTGACTCTAAAATATTGGATCATTGGAAAAGTCATGACATAATTTTTTCTGTTTTTCTATTGAAAAATGCATCATGACTTTCCTGAGAACCCTAGACATATCATGAGGAATTGATATAATATCGACATACATTGTAAATGAACTATTATCTATTGATCTATCTATATATAGATTGATCTAGCCTCTGATCAATCTTAATCAATCACTCGATTTCTTTTGTAGAAAATGAGGATTTGAGGATTTCCTTCCTCAATTGGGGAACAGAATCCTATAGATTATATTTGAGTCAGTGGATCTGCAATTATTTTCGTAAGAAATATACATATGGTTGTAGTAAAAAATTTACGTGATTCACAATTTTCAGCATGACCCCACAACTTTGCATATCTTTGCTTTTTCTAAAACTTTTACTAATACATTAATCCTTAGAAGTTTCTAGTTTTTGACATAATGCATATGTGCTCAAAGTCAAAAGTTCAAAAATCTATTATTTGTTTTTTTTCTGCTTTATTTTACAGTTGTTTATGTCTTGTTACACTTTCAGTAGGCTGGTAACAAGTACACAGATGTGCCTATCAAACTCTGGACATGATAATTTCTGAGTTGGAAAGTGACAGAGGAAAGACTTCATAGCAAAGATGATTTGACACAATGTCTTGAACCTTTGAAAATTCACTACTGAAAAAATAAATGCGAAGCTTATTTGAGCTGTAGATCTGACTGACTGAATGCCTACACACACATACAATGAAGTGTAACAAGTCCGAGTCTGTATAGACTTTCTCTTTATTAAAACTGTGACTCTCCATTTAATAACATTTAAATTTGCTTTTAGAAATTCAAGGCTTCAAAAACCTATAGAAAAAATTCCTAAGTTTTAAACATTTTAGTTTGCTTACTCTGTTTTATATCTATACAGAATCATGAAACTGAATTTTCTGCTTTGGAAAATAATCACTAGCACCTCAGAAACGCAAACTGTTCTTTGACAGGGAAGCTTGACCACCAGTAGATGGCAGCAGTGGAGCATCTTATTCGCCCTCAGTTGCCTTTAAAGGATGAATTAAGTAACTTCACTAGACAAAAATCAACTCTCTGAGAATACTTTCTATGGACTTTAAATCTCGACTGTCTTCATCATTGTTTGCTGTATTCAAAAGTTCCTTTTGTTTTCCCTACGGCACACTTGCATTGTTATGAATTAATTTAGGTTAATTTGGGAAGGAAAGTATGTGTACTGATGAGCAACGTTTTTAGAGATTAAAATTAGACAATTTAAGTATATATGTAACATTTTGATATATTTAAGGACTTGATTCCCTGGGTTGTGACTTAAATTCAAATACACAACATCTACGCAGACTATATGAAATCCATTCTTCGCTAATTCATATGTAGGCCAGAATGTTATAATTATGGTCCATTACATTACATTTAAATTAGTCACAATTCCCCATTTGTCTTTTTTATTTTTTATCTCTACTAGAATACAAGTAACAACTATTAATAGCAACTAATGAAGTGTGCGCCTGAAGTCAAATAAAATTTCCAAATAAAATTGAATAGCCAATGACTACATTGATAGTATACTTACATTGACTCTGGGGCTGCTTTCCTATATATTTTTCTCTATTTTATATGAAATAATTTAAAATAAATAAACAATATATTTTCCCTAATTTTAGACCCAAACTCCTACCCTTTCTTTGATTTGAATTTAAGTAGTTGGTAACCGAGATGCCTTTTCTGAAAGTTAAGGAAAGCATAATAAGGCGATAATCTCTACAAACAAGTTTCATGAAATTTTATGACAGACGAAATACCTTGGCACTATTTCAAAGACAGTTGTCATTTTTCTCTTCACTGAATTATATTCATATTCATACATTTGCAGGATATTAACTCTCCAGAGAATACAAAGATATCTAATTTGGAATTTTAATAACATACAAGTATTTACTTATGGCATTCTAAAGATAAGATGGGTGAAATTTCTTATTCAGTGCTATTATTTACTCTTCTCCAATTGGGGGAGAAATACATGATTGTGAATTTAAAGAATATTTCATTTTAATACTCAGTGATAGAAAATACCTGGTTGACATGGTCCAGTTTGGGGCAAGGCCTTCCTCCATTATATGGTTTTTCACGCAGCCATTTAGATCTAACCTTCACGCCACTCCCACATGATTTACTGCAGCGGGACCAATTGGACCACTCACTGAGCTTGCAGTCCGAGGGGCAGGGGATGATGCAGGCCTCTTCAATGTAACCTGTGTGGAGAAAATGAGACAAGAACCATCTCCTCCACTGTCATTCTCCCACTACCACCCACCATTCTAGCTCACTTAGATGGTCCAACTTTGACTTGACAGCAGCATGCAAATGCAGAGAAGTCTTGGTAGTTAAGGACTCGAATTAATTCTGCAGGAAAATGACACATACATGCAGTGACTCTGTTAAAATAACAGCTGAGCAGCTGCCATATGATCTGCTTAGGATTCATGCTCACCATATTTCAACATTTCTGACTTTCTGACAGCTCGTGTTTAATTGACAATAACCTGTCTGCTGCCGTGTCATTCTCATGCTGCCAGAATGATACATTAAAAAAATTATAACAGTTTCTTATGAAATCCTATCTGTTAATGTCATACAAGTTCAGATTTCTGGGTCCATGAAATGTACTTCTTCAAGAAGGAAAGTTAGTCCCAATCAATATGCAAGAGGAACCATTTAACTTAGCACCAAATGTTTTCCTTTCTTTGACAATCAAGCCCAAAGGAGAAAAATGAAGGATGTTAAGTAATGCCTTGCATTTTTACAACACTGTCATTTCAGTGCACCTTCACATCTTGTATCTATTTGATTCTTTTGAAAATCTCAAATATATTGGGCAGATATTGATATTCCAATGGCAGGATAAGAAAATAAATGCAGAGTGATAACTGACAAGTCCATAGTCAGACAAAAAGGGATAGGGAAAGGTTTTCTGAGGTCTGGCCCAGTACTTATTTCAACCAATCAGACAGTCAGTTAAATGAACAGACTACAGATTAATATTGGGAAATGGGAATATTTTCCTTGAATAGTCCTTCACTGCCAAGAAAGCATTCTATGATATCAACTAATCACTGTTGTTTTCAAGGCAAATATGTGGATAAAGCAAAATTTCTCTGCTTAAGAATAAAATACATGGTTCTTTTCTGTAATACTCTGTGGAGAGTGGTCATTTCTCACATAAGAAAACACTGACTCACCATTTATCTCAAGAGCAGAGGTTCAGTTCTGAAAATGACTATAATAAAACAATTTATACATAGGAACCCCAGGTAGGTCTCAAATATTTACTCAAATAAAATTCATCTACCACAAAAATCAGCTTGTTTTTATGTTTAGTATATTTGCTTAGTTTTATAACCATCATAATCACATATAATTTTAGGCATTTTTATCATAGCCCCCTGCAAAAAAAAAGCCCTATACATATTACGGTCACTTTCTATCTTCTCTTTCTACATTCCCTGCTAATCACGTTTACTTTCTATGTCTATGAATTGTACTTTTCTGGATATTTCAGATCTATAATTGGCTTTCCTCACTTAGTACACTGTTTTCAAAGTTTTCCGATGCTGTATCATGTATGGCTATATCTTTTTTTTAATGATTGAATAATATTTAATTGAATGGATGTACCATTTTGTTTATTCACTCATCAGTTAGCAAACATCTGAGTTTTTTTTCCCCTGCATTTTATCTACTATGAATAATGCTACTATGTCCAAGTTTCTGTGGGTACATATATTTTCAATTCTCTTGGATCTATACCTATGAATGAAATTGCTTGGTCATATAGTAACTCTATATTTAACTTCTTGATGAAGTACCAAACTGCTTTTCAAAGTGACTATACCATTTTACATTCCACCAATCATGTACAAATGTTCCAATTTTGCCAAACTTGTTATGTTCACAGAGGTTTTTGATGTGAATCCAGAACCCTTCCATGTGGGTCAACATTGTAGAGTGTTGAGTTATTGCTGCACTATCACCTGACCTATTTTTTACTTAATTTTTGTATATGAAGAAAGTAGGAATTTACCTTTGTTCTGTGTTATGTAGTTGTTGAGTTATTTTGGCCTCCTCTGTTGAAAATATTATTCTTTCTCACTTAATTGTTTTGGCACTGCTGCATATCAACTGACTACAAATATGACTTTATTTTGGGGCACTTAATTCCATTCCATTTATTTCTTTGTCTTGTCTTATGCCAGAGCCATACTGTCTTGACTACTGAACTCTGTCGTAAGCTTGGAAATCAGGAAGTGTGAATCTTCTCTCTTAACTCTTTCTCAAAATAGTTTTGGCCATTTGGAAGCTCTTGTATTTCCATATGCATTTGAGAATTATCTTGTCAATTTTGGCAAAAAGGAAGTTAGGGTTTTGATAGAAATTGCATTGACTCTTTTGATCAACTTGGTAGCATTGTCATATTAATCACCTTAATACATGGCATTTCTTTCCATTTATTTTATTTAGATCTTTAACTTCTGTCTGTGATGTTTTATAGTTTTCAGTGTACAACTCTTATTTTGTTAAATTCATTCCTAAGTATTACATTTTTATACTTTAGGTAGATTTTTAGAAAAGAATCAATAAGCACTGATATCTTTAATTATAAGGAAATGAAACCATTTTCAAAACAAACAAAATGGCAAATGTAATTGATAAGCTTGTACCCAAACTATCCTAGAATAGAATAGTGCTTAAAATACAAGCCCATTTACTACACAATGTTTCCTAGTCTTGCCTAATCACAAATTACCTGGGGCACATGTTAAAAGTGTAGATTTTCACTGGTTGCTGCAGACATTCTGATATCTGGAATAGGGTCTGATTTTTTGGAAATTAGCAATTTCTTGTGTTTATTCAGCTCTCCCTCATTTTTGTAAATTAAAAAATTAAAGATCTCCCATTTCATCAGGGACCAGCAGATAGCATAATGGTTGCTTTGCTGGACTCCCAAGCAGTCAACCACAGTTCAAGTCCTGGATCAGTGGCTTAAAAATCACGATGGGTGCATGTGAATGCATGTGTACCCAAAATCCCAAGAGGAGAAGGGATTATGGCATGACCATCCACCCTGAGGGGTGATTTCTATCTGTCTTTCTCTGGTGAGCTCATGCACCTTATAGCAAAAATTTCTCTCATATATATATATATATATATATATATATATATTATATAGATTCACATGTCATTGCAAGAAATAATAGAGGTTCTTTGCAGACTTTTTCAGTTTCTCCAATGGTATTTAACTAGACTACAATTTCAACCAAGTTATTGACATTGATATAATCTATTGAGTTTACTCAGGTTTTACTAGTTTTAGTTGAATTCTTTACGTGTGAGTGTGTAGGACTGTAGTGAAGGAATACTATTGTAAGACACAGGTAGAACTAGTAAAAAGGGGAAGAGAAACAGATTTGTGGTGTCTCTTTCTAAATATCAGATTGTTAGAAAAAGTCACGGCATATTTTTCTATGCAAAAATAAGTCATAACTTTTCTAACAACCCAATATTATTTCCTATACTTTTACATTTTTTATTTATTCCAAAGGTATATGCACTTGCCAGAGAGAGACACATAAAGAGAAACGGGGGAAGAAAGTCCCTCACAATGGGATCTAGTCACATTGCAATCCCTTCTCTTCCATGTTGGGGTTTGGGGTTCCCCCCACACACATACACACAACATGCTCTTCGTGTTTTTCAAACTGCTTGGACCAGGATTCAAATTGTAGTCAGTCATGTGGGATCTGACTCCCCTAATCACTAGGCTATGTGGCTGGCTCTCCCCTATACTTTTGTCAAAGATATTTAGCAGCTATTTTCAATTTTTTCTTATATTCTCCATACATGAAACGAAATCACTCATAAATGTAAAGTTCACTGAACATACTCATGAAGCCTGCACTGGAGAAGTATCTTTTGTTTTCCCTTCTAAAAACTGCTCCTTCTTAGAAGAACAACCACTGTTCTGGCTTCTTATAATGTAGGATACTTTCACTTAAAAAAAGTTACGTAAATGGAATCATATAATCAATCAAACATATACCTATTTGTGCTGGCTTTCTTTCACTCTATATTGTGATGTGAGATTCACCCACATTACTGCATGTTATTGAAGACTTGTTAATTCTAATCAAGTTATAGCATTCTATTATGAGAATAGAGCTTATTTATTCATTTTTAAAATGAAGGCATTCTCTCTTTTTTAAATTGTCAGACCATGTGTATACTTGCCAGGGAGTGAGAGAGACAGAAAGGAAGAAAGGAGAAGACGGCTTTTAAAGTATTAATACTAATTCAAATAAAAGTTCAATAAAGACTTGAGGATTAATAAAATGCAAAAATAGATAGCTATTCTAAAACTAGATTATAGGGACTTACTGTACTTAAATCTCATATTTTTACATTTAGTTTGAGGTAGGGAAATATCTTGAGTTGAAATATATTCAAATTTAATTCCCTGTCTTCTATAGCACAACCAGTAAATACATTTATCTAAAATAGTAAAATTATCTAAAATAGAGATGCCTAAAAATTAACTCCTGATTAGTAATAATCAGAAACAGAGAGAAAGAGAGGGACAGAAAGTTAACAACATCTCTGACAAAGTCCTGTCACACAGTGGTCCTCCCCCAAGATTCTCAGCGGGTCGGGATCATGGGTTTGTGTGGGTACACTTGGTGGGTTCACACTGATTGGGGATCTGAACCAGGGCCTCTGGTGTGGCTCTAGCAGTGTGCTTCAGTGCTCCATTACCTGTGCCACTGCAGCTGGACCAAACTATAAACATGTCAAGGTCATTTTCAAATCCATAACATTGTGACCAAATTATTTAAAAACTTTTATTTTTCTAATTTGCCAGAGGGTAAGGGAAAGTGAGAATATACCCCCTGGGGCATGTTCATACTACAGTCCCTTTTCCTCTTTTTGAAATATTGGACACATGTGCATATGTACCTGGTGTGTTTCTCAAACAGCTGGGTCTGGGAATTGAATCCTAGATTCAGCCACCTTAATCACCAGATCACCAGGTCACTGACATTTTTTTTTTTTTGAAACATTTTTGCTACAGGATGTGTGTGCTTGCCAGGGAGACAGAGAGACAGAAAGTGAGAAATAATCCCTCAGGAGTGATGGCCATGCTGCAATCCCTTCTCCTCTATTCTCCTCTCGGGATCTTGGGCACACACAGACATGCTCC